CACTCATACCTGCGTCCCTCCCGTGCAGTTCCACTGGAGACCAGACTCCCTGCAATCCCTTATAGTCAGGCCTTCCATGGCCAGGTGGGGAGGTGGCCCAGTGGTGGAGGAGAGCAGGCTGGGGAGCACTCCCTGCCTGCCCTCCATGGAACAGCACAGCAGAAACCCTCGGTACAGCCGGGACTCACTGCAGAGAGGGCAGAGCAGGAATGTGGATGCAGCTATCCCCTTGTTACTAGGGTTTAAGCGTGTCTTAAAGGGTGCCAGTGCACTCTGCCCATCATTCTGCCCTCCTCATTTATTGTTCTGAGATGTCAGAACCCCACAGAGAAGCTTGCCTACGAATGGGAACAGATTTTGTGCCCAGGCAGAGTGCTGTATGCCATCTGATATAGCATTTCCAGAGGAATAAATGACTGGACAAATCTAATGGATTCTGGTATCTGACTTTTAGGGAAAATATTCAGTCACATTCCACTCACAATATATAAACATCTCCGTGCTGTGAGACTATCTAAGTAATTTACAACCACCCATTTTAATCAGAGCTATGTGGTGTTATTTTTAAACCTGACAAAATTTTACGCCAAACGGTGTGGGATATTACAGTTACAGGGCCTCAGAAGAATTATTTGTCTCTGTTTATTTTATTAAATATTCTTAGACACAGCCTTATGATGACAGATCAATAAGTGCCTTTGCGGTTTCCTGATAGAAGGCAGCAATTATTTTCTTCCATTACAATATAAGCATAACCTAATTTTACTCATCTGTCATGTGTGTAATGGTAATAAAGAAGCATCACCATGTGTTTACTTTACCCTCCCTTTATTTTTTGTTTTGGTGATCTTCTGTTTTCCTTTCATGTTTTCCAACTGTTTATGCCTTTCATTTAACAGGAGTTGTGACCAGTTTGTCTTGCTTTATGACACTTTCTGGGAGCATGGTGGCAAAAACCTGTCTGTGACTTCTCTTTTCCTGTAAGATCTAAGTATTTTAGGCCTTCACCTGAACTTACCTGTAGAAAAAACAAAGACATAAGATCTTTACAGACCTGAATTTGGATTTCATCATTAGAGGTGTTTTATCATGTAAGTCCATAATGATTAAAGTCAAATAATTTGGCTTACAATTGTTTATCACATAAGATATGCCGAAAGGTCAAAAAAAGCCTGTAAGAACCTGATCTACAACTGAAATGTATAGTTGAGATTGTCAAGGCTAAAATCAACTCATCTTCCTCACTTGAAAAATCCCATTTAATCCATGGTAAAGATGCACACTACTGGACTATGTCTGCAAATGAAGAAAGCAGCATTTGTCTCCACATCTAAGCACACCTCTGCTTTGAGGGTACCACACTGGGGCTGATAATGACTAACTGACCAAATAAACTTTGCTTAAAGACTACATCCAGTTTTCTCTTTGCTGTGGGAGATTCCTGGACAGTGATTCAAAACCCCCCACAGCAGCTACCTCTCAGATATCTTTGTCCTGACTCAAGCAATAAAACCTCCTTACTATTGCTCCCAATTTTTCTTTTAATTCAAAGCCAGTTCTGTTTCCATCTTGCTGTCATTTAAGTGTCAGCCAGCTCTTCCCTGAAGGAAATTATTAGGCAGCACTAACTGGTCTCAGCTCTGCTGAAGTATGTCTGACATCAATCAGATGCTCCACTGGATTCACTTTTCCTGACCCTGACTTCAGTGAGCCCAGGTTTTGGCTTAATATGTATTACACTTAAACACAACTGGAAATGTTTTATTTTGATTTTATGAAGTTATCCATGAGCACTGGAGTAAGTGAAGCACAGTTTTGTCTGATTTTATATCTTATGTTGGTTGACTTTGCTCTTCAACCAAGCTCTGATGGAGACTATTCCCATGGGTGGGCAAAACCTTCCTTGTGACTCCTGATGTTTAGAAAGGTGCTCCTAAAATTTCATCAGCTTCCATAGCCTGTCTCTGGATTCACATCTGAATTCACATCTTTAAGATTTCTTATTGTTGAGGCTGTAAGGATACCTAACAGAAAGACAGATCTAAAATAGCATAACCACATAAACCTAATTCCTTTAGAAACCAAGGACAAAACAGAACAAATTTTGCCTATTACATAAAGATGAGTGGAAATTTTTCTTATTTTTGCTTTAAATATGAGAAGAAAAAGTTGAGGAAGTGTTTTGGATGTATCATTCAGGTTTATTTTGATCTAATTCTACCTTTAGAAGCCTCAGATGAAACAGTCCTGAGGGACAGACACTTAAAAAGATGGACTACCCAAAGTCAAACAAAATTATGTACAATTGTCTTATGGGACTTTTTTTTTTTTGATAACATGAAATAGCTCTCATCAATCAGACTGTAACTGTAAATTATCAGAGAGCATTTCCTTGCAAAGAGTGCTAGAGGCTCATTTTTCTTTTTAATGTTGAAGTTAGTGGTATACCATATTCACTGCTGGACTGTTTTCACTGTCCTATGACTTAATTTTGCAGTGGTCAGTGACTTTCACTTGCATGAGTGATCTGTGGTTTTATTCTCTTGACATCAAAGAGAAAGATCATCTTGGCTACATTACAAAAAACAAGTTTTGAACTTCACCACAATAAACTGACAAACTCAGACCTTATAAAAGCTTTCTTTGAAGTTGAAGGTGACTTACAAAAAGGGGAAAAATGTTTTAGGCCCTCATGTACATTTTTACATTGTACGAAAAAGGGCCTAAAAAGAATTGGGGGGTTTGAGAATCTTTTTTTCTTAATTATTATTTAATCTCCAGCAAAATCAGGAAAGATCAGATTTGATATTTTTGGGCCAAGCATAAAAAATAATGTGCTTTCCTTCTTCTGCCTGCTTATTCCCTTCCTTCACATTACAGCCCTTCAGGTATACTTTACACACCAGAGGAAAACTTACAAAAGGCTTACAAAAGATGGTTGGCAAATTCTTGCCAATCTCTTTGGCTAGTTGAAACCTGAAAAACCTCAAAGGAAAAGGCAAAGGAAATGGTACAGCAAAGCATGACAGTCTTGATATTTCAGTGTTAAGCAAACAATCAGGACAAAAATTTCTGACTGCCTTTATGCCATTTAAAAGAATCACAAGAAAACATAGAAACATTTTTCCCTTTATCAATTTAATGTAGCAGAAATCAGAGCTCTGATGACATTTTCTGAAAATAGGCAACTATAATAAACATGTTGGCAGTACAAGACATTCATTCTGATATGCAAAGCAGAAGCAGACTCTGGAAAACCTTTTGAAACATGAAAATACTTCCCAGCATGTGAAAAGCTGCAAATTATCCTGTCAATATTTTAATGGTATACTTTGCTTTGAAGAGATCACCTTTTGAAATGTGTGTATAGGCAAGAGCAGAATGAGATAAGTTAAAGGCCATGAGCTTTAAAGACAGTCATTCACAAATCATATACCCCAGGAATATAGAATAAAATACTTTCAGAGAAGGACAATGGCTCTTGTTAAAAATGAACTGAAAAATGAAAAAAAAAAAAAAGGATATTACTACCTGAAATGAAAAATTAGGACAGCAATAACAAAGTGAATAGAGAGAAGCTACTGTGTTGAATGGTTGCTAACTTGTTTTTAGTTCCTGAAAATTGCCTGTCCCCCTCCCACAAAAAAAGGGAATGAAATGTTATGTCCGTTGGGGCTGCTGTATCAGCATCCACTGGCAATGCCTACATCTGTGTTGAACACCTGGGGCCTGCTACAAGCACTCATCCCCCAATGCCAAGGCTGCTGTGGTTATGCTCAGACTGCCCCAGACCCCCTCTGAGCACATTCCTGCTGCTGGGGAGAAGCCAAGCTCTCTGTAATGGGTTCTTCTCCCCATCTGTCTCACCTCTGGCAGTGGGGAGCAGCCTTTCTCTTTGACAAAACAGACTCCCACCTCCAACCAGGGCATAGTGTCAACATCCTAACCTGATGCCCTGTGCTGAGCAGCTGTGCTGAAGAGGACACTGGTCATACTTGGGGTGAAGAAGGTCTGTGGGTCCCACTATCACTTTGAGCTACCCCAACAATGGGATATGACAGACACCATCCACCTCTAAATGCAGGCTGAGCTGTCCCAATACTGGCCTCATACTGGCTGAGCAGAGCCCTGCCACAGAGGCTGTGGCCCTCTGATAGAACACCGTGCACCATCTCTGAGCTCCAAATTTCTTGTATTGGAGAATAGAAAGTTCCCCAGGTAGGATATTTAGGAGCCTGCTTCATAAGCAGGTGATTGAAAGTTCTAATGTTTCATGTTCAAAGTAACTGTTTTAAGTACCTGATTCCCAGATTCTGTATTTCTTTTACAAAACCCAAAACCAGCAGAGACACTGGCTAGAAGGGAAAGGGAAAATTTCTGTGCTTCCTCTGCTCACAGTATTTCATATGGTCGGAGAGCAGCAGCCTCCTGAATTCATGGTGTACAGAAATGCAACCCTCCCACCCAAGACCACCTGATCCCTCATTCAGATACAGATTTCACTGACACTTTCTTGCAGAAAACCAATGTCAGTTGAACTGTTTCTGTACTAAGCATGAGTAACTACATTACAATCTAGCTCTTCATGCCATATTCCAAACCACCTCTTTCATTTTTTTCTGAGAAGGGCAGTGATTCAGCATTAACATACTTATAAGTATGTGATGTTTTTAGGGACTCTTCAGTGCACATGAATATGAATGTTTATGAATACTTTAAAAAATATTAAAAGAAATAACTGCCTAAATGTTTCATTTATCTGCATCATAGTTTCTCAAGCAAAAAACTACATTTTTCAGCCCCATAAAGACCTCAGTGATTTTTATACTCAATTTACAGGAACTAATCCTTTTAGGGATAATCAACAGCAATGACAAGCAACCTGCAATAATCAGGGACTTACATTTTGTAACTGAAACTGAAGGGACGGATACCTGGCAATGGAATAGGCAAAGAGAGAACAAAAGTCCCCAAAATGTAACAAATAAATTATCACTTACCCTGTTCAAGCAGTATTTGCTCTCTTTCCCATAAAAGTGTTGGAGGCATTTCATGTTCTGCTTGTCAACAATCTTGTTGAAGAACTCGTTGATGGTTCGCACAGAGACGGCGCAGACAGCAGATCGGTTGGTTGGTTCAGAAGAGTCTGGTTTGCTTTGTGCAAAAACACCATAGAGGATATCATCGTTGAGCCCAAGGCCCATTTCGTGTGCTAGAGCTGCACCAGGCTTGCTTACGTAGGCAGCTTGCAAAATGTTGAATACCTCCTTTCGGATGGACCTCTTCCTTCGCTTTTCAGTAAAAATGCACTCAAGAGGCATTTCCATGTAGGAACGCATCTCTGAGTCTAAAGTGCAGAAGCGGATAATTCTAGTGTGAAAAGACTGTGAGTCAAGAGTTTCTCTCTGTACAGTCAAAAAATAAACAAAGTGATCATTTTCAAAGGCATGGACATACCTAATAGGATATGAGTCACGGAACTGAGGGAGGATATCTATATAAGATTGATCTGTGAGAAACTCAAAACCGTCCTGCGTCTCTTTTAATCTTCTAACTGATATTGAATGCAGCACATGGGGATGTTGAAATGCAGATGTCACAGTATTTCCAACAAAAAAGTTGACAAACCTGTCCTTTTCAGTCACCAAAACTTTGGTTCCTAAAGTGCTAACAACACAATCAGGACAGTTATCTGCTTCTCCATCCGCCTGGGGTGAGTACATGCAGTGCACCTCGCTTTCAATGTCAGCAGGGTTGTCAGGGTGAATGATGTGACGGTGGCAGATGCCTCCGGACACACTACCACAGCTAATGAGCTGATCATCATAATAAGTTTCTAAAAGCAGTGCCATGTTGATGTTATCCTTCCATATGCTGTTAGATAAATTTGCTTTATCTCGGCAGTCTTCACATGGTGCACAGTAAGGGTTCTCCAAAATAGGCCCAGTCTTGTACACAGAAATGTTCTGGAGAGTTTCATTTAGTACATAAATCTTATTGACTGCTCCAATATAAACATGATGCTTGTATAAAACTACATTCTGAATTGGTGTGTCTGCAATGAAGTTAGGAAGATCATATTTTACACCAAGATTCATCTCTGATTTTTTAGCTGCTTCTTTGCATTGTCCATGGCTCCTCTGCAGCAAGGCAAACAGGAATACAATAAACCCAGAAGGATATGCAGTAAAAGGCTTCATTGTCAGAGATCTAATCTGTCAAAATATATTTAATGGAAAAACTGGTTATATTTCATATACTAAAAAGTCAGTTTATCAGACAACAGAAATCCGTTTCTAGGCTGCATGTAGTAGCTGAGCTATTTCACTTTAAGAAGTGTTGCAATCTTGCTTAGTGTCATACTAGTTGTACTAGAAATGGCTATAATCACTGTAGGTACCCACTTCACTGCCTTTAGAACAATTCACAGAAGGATTCTCTTGAGATGAATTTCTCAAGACTCCTCATCATGTTGTAGAGCAGCAAAAGGGAGAGGACTACTTTTACAATGCCATTAAACCAGATGACTGATACAGTTTAGAACAGGATGGTGTACACATAGCTAAAAGCAAAACTGCCCAGGAAACTTAGGACACAATGGCACACAAAGCAGTTAGAGCACTTCAGCGTGTGGCTATAAGATATTTGTCAAGTTCTCAAGGGGCTGAACGGATTCCTAGCACAGCTGATCAAAAGTAAGAAACAAAAAACACATGAAATAATGTGAAGGTTTGAGCTGAGTGGACTTCTATTCTGTTGATATTTTTGCATAACCAAGGAAGAGACACCTCTCCACCAGACCAAATGAAGAAACCTCTCTCTCTCTCTCTCTCTCTCTCTCGCTCTCGCTCTCGATTGACCTCCAGCTCCCCAAATCACTGTCTTTCATAAACGCCCAGTTTGGAAAAAAGAATGTCTTTTTTCAGCCAGCCCTACTTCTTGGAATAGTCATTCTCCCTAGTGCTGACAAGGCTTTGTAATGTATTATTAGAATATTTTATGCATCATGTGGTGCTTGGCATGTGCAAGCTTTATTTTAGGCCCTGTACCACAGCAGTAAGTCACTGTGGTGAGCCTTACAAGATACAGGCGTGTGGCTGTATTGTAAACAAAGGGCTATCAAGTGACCTACAGCCATTAACTGATGAAATCAAACCACCTAGCACTTCTCTCTTTTTCTTTTACATCTCCACACAGTTGTTTGATGTGGCTTGAAAAACCAAAGGCAGATGACTTGTGTGATATTTCAGCCCTTTGAAAGATCAATGAAATGAACTGTGGTTATGAGCGTTTCAGTGCAGTATCCACACTATGCCCTGTCACACCAGATATCTTCTGTCAACATCATGACACAGTTGCTAAGACAAATTTAGCTTCTTCATGGAGAAAACAATTATGCATTCTAACAGCAATATGATCACATACTTTGGGAAAATCCCTCTAAGTTTGACTATAGTTAGGCAATTGTTGCTAATCAAGAAATGCTTGTGACCACTGAGAGAACTTAAAATAGATGACCTTGAAAATTACAAACTGAATAATAGGAACCTGTACCAACTTTTTATTTCATTAGGAAATGAAAATACTATTAGAGACCAGAGCTATTTCAGCTGTGTATAAATCTAGTGTTTTCACTAGATTGGTTAAAGCAATCCATCAATAATTCTTGTGAAGCTTTATTTCAGCATCCACTGAATTCTTTATGTGGTTTACCTCTTTAATTACACAAAATAATAGGTTTTTGGAAATGAATTGTTCTTCCTCCATGTTATCTGATAAGAATCATGATCGAGAGTTGGGGATAAAAATCAGAAACACAGGCTATTTGCAAGTATTAGCTGGTAAAAACAAGTCACACTTCTAGTATTGAGACATAAAACTCTTCCTTCAAATCAGTAACATTTTTCTCATATTAATTAGTGATAACAGAATCCTGGAAACAAATCTAGCCTGGATTTGAAAGAAAAAGAAAAAAGAACAAGGATATTGCTATAATCAGAAAATAGTCCCAGTACACAAAGTGATGACTTCCATATTGTATAGGGCAGGAAGATGTCTTCTCATCCTCTGTAACATCTTGCTGTTGTGAATATTTTCCTGCTCTGTGCTGGGATGAAACCAAGAGCTTTCAAAGTTTGTGTAAAACTCCCAGAATTCACACATGATCCAAGAACAATCATGTTCACATCCTGCCTGGCCAGTGTCAAGTGCAGGTCCCAGCACTGGGAGAAGCAGGGGCCTGGTCTGACTGTCTGTCTCTTTTCAACCAGCACTTCACCCAAGAAACTGCTGAAACTGAGGCATTCCTGCAGATTCACTTCTGATGAGTCAATGTGTTCTGACAAATACTAGATTAAGCAGAAAATTCCAAAAGTGCTCTATTTCTGACACCAGGCAGAGGCAGATATAGTATTTACTGCAGTAAGTTTAAACCTACCTAACAGAGGCAGGCCTGCAGTGGAGAGACGAAGCAATGGGTGGGACAAGAGCTGCATGAGGATGAGGCACCACCAACACAGGAAAAAAGATTGAAGGAAAGTTATTTGACAGGCACCTTATTTGTTGCCATATACTCTGCACTATGTTCTTTTTTTAATGTTCCCAAATAGATTTCCCACCCAATAGGTCCCTCAGTTTTCAGTTTACAATCCTCCTTATTCTTCCAATGTCTGAAAAAGAGGATCCCTAGATGTTCAACAATCAGTACCAGTGTGCACTGCAGGGGTATTTAGAGCCATAAATACTATCTGACATATTCTTTCTTTCCAACTATATTTTGGGATGTGAGGCCAGTATCCTCAGACAGTCTGCTCTGCCTACACTCAGTAAAATATCACTGATTTCAATCTATGCCCTGGAGACCAAAAATTTCACCTTAGACTCCTTTAGCAAGTGAGGCTGGAATGGAAAATTTAACAGTAAGAACAAAGGTGGGATTCAGCATGATGTAAAGGATGCCAGGAATAATAGGTACTTTGTTTTACCACTACAGGAAAACATGAGCAATAAATGAAAACCAAGTCATCTTTTCTCTTCTATTTGAGTTTCATCATAGTGCTTTCATTTGTATACTTTTGAGATGTTTCAAGCATCCTCCCAGACAGAAATCTGCTGATTCCAACCTATGGGAAGCTCTGGCTCAGATTTATGGGCAGCTCTCTAGGGAAGATGGTTCTCCACAGCCCATGTCTTCAGCAAACTGTGAATTTTCTCTCAAGGTGCCTGACACCAGAAGGAACATGCCCTACAGTGAGACATTTATAGCTTAGGGACAACATAGGAATCATGTGAAGAGCACTGTGTACTTCACAGTCCTCACATCGTATGAACTCTGCTGCTCCTTTCTCAGAGTCTTGTGGCATTTGGTGCCACTTTTCATCTGCATCTGACCCAGGTTCTTTCTCTATTCCTACACTGCAAGCTGCAGCTCAGAGCTGCTCTTTTGTAAGCTTCAGACCAGGTCACTGCAAATACACTTCACCTGAAGAAGCAGAGAAATTTTTGGTGAATTAAAAATTCAGTCTGTCTTCAAAGGTCCAACAGCTCACTGTAGCATACACTCAAATGTAATTTTTTGAACTTACAGAGTTTTGATGAATTAGAACCAAAATACTTGTGCTATAGTCACAGGTCAAAGAACTAGCTGCTCTCTATCAGCTGCAGAATGAAAACAAGGAAACCTTTTGTTTTTCTGCTTGGTTTGAATGATGGATGCTGTTCAATCTTTTGTGACCTTCCTGTGACACGTGTGTGTGTCCTTCATGTGTCTACAGATGACTTGTAAGTTTTGGCCTGTGATAGCCATCAGTGAGCGATAGCTGTCATGGATTATTCCTTTTGTAAGAGATATTTTCAAAGCCAGTGTCATGATGTGCTCATTTTTCCATCCCTCATCAGATAGTAGCCAGTAAAACTGATGAGAAAATAGACTTTGGTTAACCATTGCAAATGGTTGGTAATGATGTGTCATATTAGTATGAATGCTATGGCTGGTTCTTTGTTTTTGTACCATTAAGTTTCCAAATGGCAATCTTCTTCCTACAAGTTTCATTCCCTCTAATTATGACTTGGGCGATAATTTGTAAATATTGAAAATCATGTCTCTCCTTGACACCGTTTGCGACTGTACTGACAAGTCAGGCCTGGCCTAATTGTGGAATATGTTTAAGCTGGCATATGCAAGGAAGCCAGAAAACACAGCCATGCTTGTTTGCCTTTCCCTCATTTCAGAAACTTGGGTCCCATTTATCTCTAATCACAAGCACTCCATGGATCTGCACAAGCTCAGACAACATGCTGACATGAAAGCATTTTGTTCATTGTTGGGTGCATCTCATTTTTCCTTGCTTTATTACAGAAAAGGAAATGGCAGGGTCCTCTATCCCACTGAGAGAGTGTTTGTACAAGAACATATTTAGTCCTAAGATAGGTCATTTCAGGTTAGGTGACGGCAGAGCCATGTTAATTCATGTTCCAAAAACTCCATTGTCAGCAAATGGTAGCCTTTTCCCTTTTTTAAAGCTGATAATATGGTTTTATACTTTTTCGAGTGAGAGAGTATAGCTTGTTACTTTGGTCTTTGACAGAGTTGAGGCGGCAAATTTATATAGAATAACCCTAGTGACTACTCCTCCTGAGACTTCAGTTTGCTTTGCTATTTTGGACTAAAATCTGTGCCAGTGCAGGACCTGATTCCCTGTGGTTCAGAGGCTGTGCCATGGAGAGAACATCATCATTTAAGAGGACAGGGAAAATGAGAGGGGGTGATAACAGCTCCATTCATCCAACTTTAATCAGTTGTTGCAAATCTGCCACAGCACTGGCATCAGCTTCAACAGATAAATCTCACAACGGATGTGTCTTCATCAGACTTTTCAATTAACCAATTGCATCTGTACACAAGGTTGAGTATATCTAAAACACTTAGTGAGGATAACCTGTTTTCTAAGTTCAGAGGTAAAAAAAAGGTTTTAAATCTGAACTTACCTTAAGACAACAGAGAGAACAAGGAAATTGAGCAAGACAGCAGCAAACATACAAATTATCCCTGAATTCAAATGGCTAATCTGAGTTAAAATTCATGTTCCCTTGTCTTCAGCACTATTTCAGCTCTAGGTTAGGTCACTCATCCTGACTAGGGTGGCAACATTATTTCTCCTACAGCATGGTATGCACTCTAGCACAATTCAATTTTCCAGAGCATAGAGTCAAAGTA